TTTGGGATGCAGATGTATCAGGGACCTTAAATGAGTTTTGATTTCCTGCATTCCACAACATCATTTGCATGAATTGTGTGTGTTGCCTTTTTGCCTATCTTTCTGACTTCATTCTTTACTGTATTCTTTACCAAACATTTTTGATTTTCAGCCAGATTGGTATGCAGCATTATATTGATTACACCTTGCTTGACTTTTTCATCAGCATTCCATTACACCATTAACAGCTCATGAATTGCCCATCTTCCTAATATTGGTTTCTGCAGTATTATTATAACTGCTGATTTTTCAATTTAAACCAAACTTACTGTCTTTAACTAAAGAGAACTAAAATGAGATGCAGTTAAACCTGATTTCAGTGACTGCAGCTGTGAGTGACAGCTTGTATTTATGTCCAAAATCACCATGCACAGATCAGTTAAATTTAATGCAATGTTGTGAATGATCACCTGCTGAACTCTGACAGTGGCCATTGATATTTAGGCAAAATATTTTTCAAAACTGCTGTGAATGGATGCATTGCAATACTTGGCATACATACTACTGACCGTAAGCAAGGGTGTAAGACATAGACCACACCGTAAGCAAGGGTGTAAGACATAGACCGCACTGTAAGCAAGTGTGTAAGATATAGACTGAACTATAACCAAGTGTGTAAGATATAGAATGCACTGTAAGCAAGTGTGTAAGACATAGACTGCACTGTAAGCAAGTGTGTAAGATATAGACCGCACTGTAAGCAAGTGTGTAAGATATAGACCGCACTGTAAGTAAGAGTGTAAGATATAGACTGCACTGTAAGCAAGTGTATAAGACATAGACTGCACTGTAAGCAAGTGTGTAAGATATAGACTGCACTGTAAGCAAGTGTGTAAGATATAGAATGCACTGTAAACAGGGATGTAAGACATAGACAACACTGTAAGCAAAGGTGTAAGACTTAGACTGCACTGTAAGCAAGTGTGTAAGATATATAATGCACTGTAGGCAAGTGTGCAAGACATAGACCACACTGTAAGCAAGTGTGTAAGATATAGACTGCACTGTAAGCAAATGTGCAAGACATAGACCACACTGTAAGCAAGGGTGAAAGACATAGACCATACTGTAAGCAAGTGTGTAAGACATAGACCGCACTGTAAACAATGGTGAAAGTTCAGGAAAATGAAGAAAGGTATGCATCTCTACTGAAAATCAAGAATATCAAGGGTTGGGGGGATTGGGGTGGGTTATGAGATTGTTTCATATCTGAGTACAGGTTTTTTATTGTTTTGGGAATAATTGTTAATAAAGAGCTATTTATAATAAGGTCTTTGCTTGTATGTGCAAATTACCTTGAAGATACAAAACTTCTTAAAGATTAATTACAACAATGCTACAAGAGGTTTCAGCAACATCACATGTACATGAGAACTATGTGTATTATATCACTGAATTTTGTTGTTGTTGATGAACAGAAAACAAGTTTCTTTTTCTTTTTCAAGAACATAGGAAATTTATTCTGTTAAACAACTGTCAACATTGTAACTTTCTAAATTTGAAAATAATGTTATAACGACAGAGCAGCATGCTATGAATACATCTTAGCCTCCAGGTTTACTCCAATAATGCCACTTATCATCACCCCAGACTTTATACAGAGGCATATTAATCAATTATTATTATTGCAACATTGCATGCCATCAGTATCTAATGTTTGTTCAAAATGTACTATTTTTTTAATGTATGAAGAGACCAATTGTCAAAAAATGCACATGCTTGTTTTCAGTCTCCTTACAAAATGTAAAATTTATGCCAATAAAAAAATCTACTTGTTTAGATTTTATGCTGGGAAGGTTTAGTATAAACATTTTATCTATGGCAGGAGAAGGTGCAGTATTACCTTTTTCAGTCTATTAATCAAAATTTGGAAATCAACTGGTTTGAAATCCTGGTTATATCACATGTATCACACACACACACACACACACACACACACACACACACACACACACACAGACACAGACACAGACACACACAGACACACACAGACACACACATGAACTGAACATTATATTAAATTAATATATTACAGCAGAAAATGGTATACCCAGTCTGTTGGAGGAGTTGATGTTAAAGTTAATGGGAGAGAACTCCAACATAACACTACTGAATAAGCAAGATTTCTTATGTATTGTTCAGTTCTTGGTTTTGATGAGAACATGACTATAGATTATAACATTCATAAAATAATTTTCACATAATTGAAACAGACACAAATGTAACAGTTAAGTTTCATGCATGGCATTTGCTTTCCAATGAAAAATGTCTTACAAGAATTTGTGCAGTTTTTAAAAATTTAAATAAATGGCATAATGCAGTGTCTTAAATTAACTCAATATCCTTTTCTTAATTTTCAGTTTTCTATAGCCAATTCTTAGAATGTATTCATGTGACCCTGCATCAAATCCAAAATGAGGCTAAGCTAGGAACCAGCTTATAGATTTGTTAGAGCCAGGGGACCAAATTATGGCAGATAAAGGTTTTAATAAACAAATAAACCGAATAACCCATTTATAAAATGACAATTTTTTTTAACTGTTTAGACATGATTCTTACCTATTTTTTTACTTTATCTAATATCTGAATACACATATTGGGTGTTAAAATTCATCCATCTACCAACTCCATGAAAATAATAATTATAATCAGTGAAGAAGTTCAGATAAATATGGGACCAATTTGTGTGTTTGGGGGCAGGGTGCATATATATATATATATATATATATATATATACATGTATATATATATATATAGATATATATATATATATATATATATATATATATATATATATATATATATATATATATATACGGCTTTCAAGCAGCTTTGAAGAAATAATCCTGCTGTTTTGTGGGTAGATATATAACTGCCAGTCTGTTATTGAAACAAAAAATGAGTTTGTATAAATAAAATCATATATCCATATTGTCTGTTGACCAATGATTCAGAAAAGAAAAAATATGTAATTTAAAGGGAAAATCCCAGTCCCTCCCACCCTCAGGCACCAAACGCAGCAAGCACCATAAAAACAACTAGGCTGTGCACTTCTGATACAAATTACAATGCAAGCATACCGACATGTACCCAAAACAATTGAAAGCACACCATAAAGTCTCTACTGGTTTTGGGGACGTTTTTGGTTAAAAGAGCAGTCGGTGTCACTATGCACATTTTGTAAATATTTTATTCTGACCGTGTGTTTTGCCCACAGTGATGATTAATCATAGATGTACATTTAAACCTTACCTAATTAGAAACAAAATTCATGCTTTAAATAGTCTCTTTTCTCTATCATTAACTTGTATTATGTGTGCTGTTCAGAAAAGGACACTGAGAAAGATAGGACGTAAATCAACTTACGTTTAAGAGAATGGACATATTAAGTAAGTTTTCGTCAATATAATATATGTAGCAATATTTCTATAAAATATTCTTATGCAAAAGGAAGGAATCTCTATAAAATACATTACATCAGGGTTGCACACACTTTTTCAGCATGTGATCTCTTTAAAAAATGACGAAGCCAAAATGATCTACCTACCACAAAAATACATAACATATATATATGCTGACGTCTATTTTTTTTAATGTTACGTGATCTGCTTTTTTTTTAATGTTACATGATTGAACGGTCAATCGAAATCGACATATTGTGTACCCCTGCATTACATCCATTATAGCCACTATCAACATAATATATTCTCTTGCAAAATGAATCTATGTAATATATTATATGTTTTATAGTTGCATCTGCCTAGCTTAGCCTCATTTTCGTTAGACATTAATATTCATGAGGATCTCATTAAAAATGGTCTATAGCTATATTTTAAGCAACACAATAAAATACTTCAAAAGTTTTTAAGTGTTTGAATACAATTTTGATAAAACTTTATATATTTATCTACTAGCAGCCTTACATTTTCTGATACTGTTGTTTCTCATATACCATGATACATTTTTATATCTGAGTAAATGCATGAGTATACTAAATAATGATTTTCCAAATTAACAAGGAGGGCATCTGTTTTTAATGGATGAGTGCAGCAATTTGTACAGGAAGTAAATGATTGGTCAATACCATACTGTTTCGCTAAGCATTGGCACTGATGTTTTAAATAAGTACCATTAGCAGAATGCTTAGTAAGATCTGCAGATGATATAAATATGAAAAACTCTGTAATTGGCCTTGAGTTTTATAGATTTCTCTTTATTAACTATTAGAACTTAAATATATCATGCATTATTCAGTTAGATTTGATGTTGAAATTTCTGAAAAAATTGTAAAAATACAGTAGAAAATATTAACTTGCCAGCTGGATTTGTTCTTTTGAAATATTAGTTGACAAGAGAAAACAAACACTAAACACAACAATGGGCTAGGGGCTAAATTAACTGCTGTGCTTGAATCAGTCCTTGTTTATGCACAGTTTCCATAATTTACATCTGTGCATTATATTCTGGAATTTCACAGGATTACACCTGTAATATTCTAGTTGTTGCAGAGGCCGACATGTCAGATACCATGGTCTTTGTAATTCTAATATTTATGATTGATAACACACACACACACACACACACACACATTTCTTTTGCAGAAATATGGGAATGTTAAATTGGCTATTTTAGTTTGACCTTCCTTCTATATTTCCATCATTTGTGTCATCCATACTTTGTGTCATCAATCCTTTGTGTTATCCATACCACTTTCATTTTCAAATACAATCTTCCTTAATTGTGTCACAAATTTGGTATGCAGGTTGATATTGGTAAGACCATTATTGAGTTAGTTGTCAGCATTCTGCATTATTGTTTAGCAGAGTTATGGCTTCTGTTTGTCAAACATACCCACTTTTGTATATCCATAATGCCACTCATTAAAGCATTTCCAGAATTTGATTTCAGATTTATATATCATTGTTTAGCCAATTAGCCTTTCATTTTACATTTGCATTTAGGACCACTCTTGTGGCTTAGAGGTGAGAGCATCTGCCTCAGATGTGGGAAGTTGTGGGTTCAAACCCTGGCTGAGTCATAACAAAAATTTATAAAAATGGTACTAACAGGTGCCTCTCTAGGAACTCAGCATTAAGAGGTTAGTGTTAGGACTGGTTGGCCTGATGTCAGGATAATGTGACTGGGTTGGTTCATGCTATATGTCTGTGGCATGATGCCCCAGTGTTAGACATCACTATAAACTACCATATTGCAGATATTATAGTGATATGGCTGAAATTTTTTTAAAGCTATGTTAAAAATCCAAATCACACACATGCACACACACACACACACACACACACACACACACACACACACACACACACATACACACACACACACACACACACACACAACACACACACACATTTGTACTTGAACCAAACCTAGTATGTGAGTTTATACTGATGAGACCTTTACTGAAAATTGTCTGCATTCTTTTTTCATTATTTAGTGGAGTCTTTGCCCCTAATTGCCAAACCATTCACTATTAGAGTTATAGGTCTTTTTTTTTTGAAACTAGGTTACTTCCCTTGAATTAGAACTCTCGTCCACTCAATGCAAATGTTCATCTTGGTACTATGACATTCACTGACTAGTGATACCCATAGTCTGTCACATTGTTAATGTAAGCAAATGTAAAACCAGAAATATGTAAATTAAAGTAATCCTGGATATTTACTATTTTATTTTTGTATATCAGTAGATACTATTTCTCAATAAAATATAAATAGGTATCTCTGGTATTAGTTTGATTTTATTTCATATGTTTACAAAAGAAAGATTGAATAATGTAAAAACATTTTGTCTGCTACAGCTGAAAAGGTTGTTTACTTACTCTAGATAATTCATGATCATTAGTAATTTTCCATACTCAGAGTTTAAATTTCTTCCAAATTCAAAATTTTCAACAATATCACATTAGTCTTAGATGATAGCAGAGTGATTTTGCCAAAAAGTTTGAATTCTGAAGAAATTTATGAGCATTAGAAATTATTAATGATCATCTTATCTTCAGTATGGAAACCCCTTTAAATTATGGAAACCCCTTTAAATTATGGAAACCCCTTTAAATTATAGAAACCCCTTTAAATTATGGAAACCCCTTTAAATTATGGAAACCCCTTTAAATTATGGAAACCCCTTTAAATTATGGAAACCCCTTTAAATTATCAGTCAGAACACTTTGTCATGATAATTAGTTTTCAAGCAAAGATCAAATTAACACATGTGAAAAAGTTGGGACATTTGCAAAATCATGACTTCACAGCTTAGATATTGTGACAGGTACTCCAATAGTATTTGAGTGGATATTGCCAATGTGTGCTATATTTATACATTTCACTTGTTGCATAGCCCTAATTAGATTAAAATATCTTGTTTATTTTTGAAGTAGAACTACTGAATAGAACAGAACAAGATATGATGAAAAACTCTTGCTCTGGCTATTCATACAAGGAATAGAGTGAAGTATAATCAAAGTCCGATTTTGTTTAAGCCGTCTTAGTCATTGATGTAATATAAAAAAGAGGGAAAATTGAGAACATGTTTGGATAATGGTTTATCAAGACATTGCAAGTCTAAAGAAAAATCAATGAGTTCAATGAAAATGTGTTTGATATGTTTCACTTAATATGATAAATAGTGTTACTTGGGAAGGTAGTAGCAGATTTGGGATTATGGGCTTTTTATTGTTAGTGGCATTTCCAGTTCTCTCTTTTTAATCATGAATTTTTTTCTTCTAGCTATTTGTATGTGTAGAAGAGCTGAACAGGTTTGCTGATCAACATTGTATGATAAAATATACTGATGTGATTAGATGGGTATGTTGCCATGAGACTATGGAGGTGCTGGCATGCTGTAGTACAATCTTAGCAGAATGAAATCAGCACAAACCAGTCAAATTTAGTCCATTTGTCAGGTGACTTGAAAGGACTGGTATCTTTTTAAAAATAGAACATATGTTTTCAGTTTTTTTTGGCAAAATTTTTAAAAAAATCCTTAAACAACATTTGAAGAATTTTTTAATCTTGCAACATTGACAACTGGTACTTACCTGTTGTAATATATACCTGTTTTCATGTTATTATTTAATGAGATTTGTACTTTTACATGGCAATTTCTTAATTACATTTTACATTTCAGGTGAGCATCAACCTTTGGTCAATGATGGCAATATTCACATACAAATGGGAAATTTAAATAATTCACACAAAGAATCCATGCCTGTACCAGGTGGAAAGCAGGAATTGGACCTGGATGATCAGGGTGAGAGTTTTGACTTAAATCCTGAATCCCTCGAGGAACAACATGAATTGGAAAGTGGAAGTATTTCATCTCAAGTATTGTATTAACGTAGTCAGCTGACATGCAGAAAGGATGTATTAAAAATGCATATTGTCCCTACCATTGAGAGATAAGATATTTTTCTTGATAATTGGGTGACCAGATAATTGATAACTGTATAAATAATAATTTGTGTGTCTATGGGACATTCCATTAATTGTTTGATAAGTGAAAATAAGTTTTGAATATATTTTTCTTATAGGATATTGTGCCATGGCTATATATTAACATTTTATACCATCAGCACTTTATTGTTATTGCCAGATTAATTCACTAGCAAAATATTTTCTAGTTATGTAACTTTATGCTGGAGCTGAGAAAAATACATTCTGTTAGCTGTAAATTAACATGGAAAGGTTTTAATTTGTTGGATTATAGTCACTTTCTGATTAATTATGATAATTGTCATATTGTACAAATATGTAAGGAAGGATCACCAAGGTTACTGTCATTGTAATAAATGAAATAACAAGCTCAAGCAAGAAAATCTTTATATATTTATGACCTGCTTTGATTGGCTTTGGCAATAGACAGTGCCTATAAATACCTTCTCCCATGTGCAGCTCTTCCTTCCTTTTCAGACAATAACCACCATAGCATGCTTCATTATAACACAAATTTGGATATAACAAGGTCATGGTGTGGCTCCCAAAATTTCATTTACTTGTTTTTTTCTCCTATACAAAAAAATCTTTCTTAAAAGTATAAAAAAAACCCAAAATGTATTATCATTTTAGGGAAGAGATCCTGTATGAATAATACAAGATGATTGTGGTGTGGCTCCTGAAATGTTTTATGCATTTTTCTTGTTAAAAGTATAAAAAAATTGTAAATATTTTTTTGCCAATGTCAATTATTTTTTCCTTATTGGTGACAAATTATATCATATGGTGATACTATTTATTGGTAACATTGTTGGCTGTTTAAACTTGTATACACAACCATTGGTTTAGAGTGGAGAAATTCAGAGGCCTCATGAAAGGAAGCCACAGAGTTGATATAAAATGCACTGGAGTTTATATATTGCTACATAAACAAATTCTCTGTCCATATTGACCAACCATTTTAACAGTGCATTGTTATATCATAAACTGCTTAATAGGTTGACATACAGCATGAGTACTGTATGTTTTGAGATATCCACTTTTTTCAAATTTACATTTTTGGTAGCAAAGATCAACTTGATGAGGCATTATTTCAAAATCTTTCTGGATTTTTGGCTGCATGCTAGTAATTAATATATTGATACAGACTGACATTTGTATGTGGATGGTAAGAAAAATTTCTCTTCTTTTCACTCAGAATTAAAACCTTCAGAACATTCACATTTTCTGTAGTAATCCCTGTCATCAGACCAGAACAACTGCATCACTATCGTCAGTTGACTTTTTCTTTAAATATCTGACACAAATCTGTGAAAGGCAGCATCACTCCACTACCACAGATGTAAAAAAACAAAACAAAGACAAACTACAAAAAGACCTACCCCCCAAACACAAGCTCTCACTTGTCTATTCAATAGGCAGTGAGAAACAGTAACTATAATTGACCATATAAATGCCAATTCAGTTTTAAAATATGTACCCAGATAAAATAGTAGCTGCAATGTCAAAGAAAACATTATCTTTGAAGCACCAATTGTTATGAAAATGTACTTAGCAAATGAGTAGAAAGCAAATGGGAAAAAAGTATCAATCATGCAATACAATTTTTTGATGTTGCTACCATAATACCAAATGGGCATATGTTTGGTTCTCAAAAGCTGTCTTTTAGCTGTGACTTCAATAACGCATGCACCTTTCAGCAAAGACGGCTGACTACAATCTTCAATAATAACAATGAACCTTTTTCAAAGGAAGTCAGTACCAAACTTAAATAAAAGCAGTGGAATCTGATGGATTCTTTCCTCTTCCAATGGAACCCTTTTACTGTGCCTCAAATGCCTTTCTACAGGAAAAAAGTTTAATCATATGAACTCAACTGAGGGTGCTTAAAACACAAAATTTTACCAATTTGGGAAATACTGAAAAGTAAATGTGTTTCATCATTCATTACATGATTGTGTTATTTTTTTTCCACTGAATTCAGACCTATATGACCTATGACAAAATTATTGAATATTTTAAATCTCTATGCATATTTTCAATAGAATTACTTGTATTGTAGATTCAATGAATGTGACAATATTCAAAGGTGTCGATATTTTATTCATTGCTATACATTACAGATGTATATATAAACAGTATATATGCATCTGAACCAAAGTGTGATTCTCTAAATAAAGTAAAATATTATATATTCCTTATCTCTTTTCACTACAGGTGTATTTCTCATTTAACATGCAATGATTTAAGATGACAACTGAAGCACATATTTTTGTGCCCACATGTATTACCTACCCCACCCCACACATTTGTTTCAGGTACATGCATCATTTTCTTCAGCTAACTGACTTGGTTGCTTATAACATAGTTCGTTCTATAACACGGTCAGGTTCTATGGCTCCCAACTACCGTGGGTCACACTGTGTATATAATTCACAGTAAATGTACATAAATAATAAAGATTATAGAAGGACATGGTGTAAATTATTTATATTGACTTGGTTGTTTATAACATCGTAAACAAGCCAAATTTAGTATCATTACAATCCAAAATAATGATTTGAAAAGAGGTATAGAATTTTGTTAT